TGAGCTGTTGTGTTTTTGTATTTATTCTTGATCTACGCTTTAACATGAAACAAACATAAATAACTTCTGTAATACTTTTGAAATATCTGTGTTACATAGGACACAGTAAGTGTTATTTAATTGAGAAAACCACACACATTTGTAGAACTGTTATAAGCAGAATTTTGCAGCACTTGTTATAGAAGAACAAATCACCAAATAAATATGATTACCCCTTTAATTCAATATTGCTTCTTCATCAAGAACATTATACAAAAAGTAATTTAATGATTTAGACTTTTTTTTACTTAAGAAATCTAGTTCAGGTTTTATTCTTCTGTCCTGATGATACATTTGAAACATCTTTTCTGATCATGAATTTGTGATTCATATTTCATATTCAAGATGTTTTACTTGTTCTGCTCTTTCAAATGTTACAAAGGAGAGGATGCCATTCAACCCATCTGTCCTATTTGATAGATATTTATTGGTCTCATCCAGGTGTTTCTTGAATGAAGCCGTCATACAGGCCTCAATTAAATGTCAACCAAAGGTCAAAATTCTCAAATATGTCATATTACAAAAGGCGATTTATAGTATTGAATAATTAGATAATATATTGTATTTATTTTTTGAATAATGCCTTTAAAATATTTTTTTCAAATACCCAGCAGAAGTTGAGGTGTTGTGGTTTACAATCTTTATCCCACATTGGAGACTTCATTGTAGCGAGCATACAAAGTTTTTTAATACAACTGAAACTACAACTTAACCTTATAGACTACTCTGTCTGTGGCTAAAAATATTCTGTTGTTTTAACCAGTTAATATAGGACAACCCTAGAAATGTATCTGTTTGATCTCCTGTGGACTGATTCTAGAACAACAATATATTTTAGAACACAATAACTAAAATTATTGACAATAGTCTAAATTATATTTTCCTAGTGTATTGCAATATTTCATAATAATTATCCTTTTAACAATGTGCCCTATGTATTATAGACAATGATAGCTTAAACATGTGAATAATTTTCAACTACAGTGTTTAATGGTTGTTTCTGCTGCCTGTTTGTAACACTGTATATATAATATATATATAAAATGTCGTCTGCTATGATTTTGACCAGTACATTGTACCTTTATATGGTAAGATATAAAAAACTACTTCTTATAATCTATAATTAGTCTGTACTATAACAAAAATAGAAACGTACAGTACAGTATAACTGCTCTATTTGGCGATTGTTTATCATATGTGCAGAAAAGTGTAGTGATCGTGAGATTATAGTGACATTGTAAGCAGAACAGAGTTAAGCATGACTGCTAAAGCAGCTGATGGCATGGAAAAAAAAACAGAAAGATGGGTCATGAGACTGAAAATAACAGATCAGTTTTTGCTGTATGAAGTCAAAAACTGCTATTTATTTTTTTTATTTTGCTCATGTCTGCATAAATCGTGCTCAGACTTTCATCTGGGTGAATTGCATGTGACAAATCATTTCTAATATATAATCAAAACAATTGAGAGCTTCACTTTTTCAAATGCAGTATGCCACCAAAAGTTCATAGGACAATTAAGTTTGCATTTATTAGAAAACTGAAATGGCCTGTGAACTGGACCATTGCCATACATGAATGAGATACAAGGCCCATGATAGTAACAAAATGTACAACAGAGAGAACTACCTCAAAGCAATATTGGTATTAAGTCTACAATGCCAAAAAAGTAATCTTCTAAACACTTTAGAATTGTTAAGAAATAATATTGAACCTGGAGAAGTGTTCTAGCTGACCTACCCACTACATGGCATACCCTCGTAGTCTCAGCCGTTTGCCATTCTCTCTAAAATTAATTTTCAGTATCGTTTTGTTTGAGAATTTTGTGGTTGCTAGGTTCAGTGCATAGCATATCCATATGAGGGAAATGCTATTTTGTGATAACACAAAGTGAAAGTGACACTTAAGTTCAACAAACTTGCAAAGCAGAAAGTGAATTGTCCAGCAGAAGTTAGAGGACACAATAACACTATATTTAAAGACTATTAATATTATTATTTTTTTATTTTGAGTTTTCTTTTCTATATTTATAATTTAATAAAATTGTATTTTATTTTACTATGCCAAAAATTTGTAGACATTGCAATAATATCAAATATGTTTTGACTATCAAAAGTTGTTGAACAAATGCAATAAATAAACTGATTATTGTATAATAATATTTGAAAATTAATGTTATATTTACTTGTTATTTTCACTGTTATTAAATATATGATGTAATGTTAAATGTTATTGTAAATATATACAGTACTTGTTTATAACGTTATTAATAAATAGTGAATTTATTGGCTTTTTAAAGTTAGACCTACATTACATTTACAATCTGTTCTTGTTTTACTGAACAAGAATAGACAGTAAAATCTTTGAGCATCATTGAAAGAAATACAACAAAACTTTCTGTAAAGCAGAAACATTCAAAACAAGTGTATTTTATTTACTTTGTCTTATACTTTCTCCTAAAGCCACATACCAGTATTTCACATCTGTGTATAGAATCACTTTTTGTTAATTAAAGGAATGGGAATAATTTAAAAAATGCCAGTAATTTGTCACTGCAAGGTACTGTTTTGGATGTAGTTCAAAATAAAAATGTGAAAGGTTAATTCTGAGGAAGTAATTGAAATACTCTCAAGTTAATTGCATGCACCATGATTATACATATAAGAATTTAGTAAACAAAAAGCTTTGTTCTTGTGAGTTTTTTTTCTATTTACTGCCTCCAAAGTTGTGGCTAAGGTAAGTAAAGGTTTTCCGAAATTCTCAGTCCAGAAAAACACATTCCAACTGCTACATCCAATTTACAACCTACCAAACTGCATCTGATATTTTCCATTCTGTTTCGCTTCACTGACACCTGATTAGATTTCATTCAAAAGTGCTTTCCAGAGTAACAATATAGAGAAAGTGGGCATTGTGATGTAATGATTTCTTCCTCAATGCTATGTGTATTTCAGACAACCTTATCTCATAAGCAGTTTAGTCTTATATTTCTGTATAATATCTCTGTAGGATATACAAAGAACTTTTCTTGAAGTGCGTAAATTTAAATAGAACTTATTTATGATTACTTTTCCATTTCCAGTAAGTCAATTTATCCAATTAGTCATGTATTTTACCATATAAATGAATCAAACAATTTCATTTTACTGGTGTTACGGAATTTGGAGTGGTCAGTATATGTATGAAATGAAAAAAAGAAACTACACTTAAAAAATACACTCAATGTTTGATTATAAATGTATTGAAATGCACCCACAATAGAAGATGTCTTCTCTGCATCATGTTTATTTTAATTATGCTTTATTAAATTTTCTACATCAGGGTATAGGCCTGAATTTCAAACTAACAATATGAATGCAATGAGTTCCAAATAAAGGCACTATGACTTTTTGCTCCTGACAAAACAAAAACTTTAAGAAACTTAAATTTTCTTTAAATTTTAAATTCAGTTGCAAGTTTCAGTTTCCAAGATTATAGGTTTTTGCAGGTCAAACTATTGTACTGCACAGGTTTGTCAAAAGTCAGTTTTAATTTTTAGACAAACAGAGCAATTAGCTACTTCTTGGTTCACCTATCATTCTTATCACATTATTTAAAGTGTCTTGTCACAAAATCAAGACTTATCTGGAATTAACTAGTCAAACATGTTTTGAATAATCATGTTTTGAAGTTATGGGTTTCATTTCATCAAGCTTGCAACGATTCAATGCTAATATTTCACATGTTACTACTACCTGTAATGCAACATCTGAAGTTTGGGTGTAGTCTTGAACTACCAAGTTCAAAAGTATATTAAGATATTCATGAAATCACCTACGTTTTCAATCATTCAATTGTTCCATAGACAGAGACAGTTTGGGTGTTTGGCAAAATCATTCTGATAGCCATCCAGGTTTACACAGGGAGCGTGTACAGTAAACAGTCACTGCATCAGATGTCAATTGTAACTAACTACAATGGTACATACTAGGTTTGAAGTCAATTGACTTTGTTTTGTGGGAGTCTGGAACAAGCTTACCACCAACATTGTTGAAACCTATACACTTTCTTCCTCCATGATACAGGTGTTTCTTGTTACTGTATATATTATGGTTAGGAACCAAAAGGTTACATATAGAACTTATGTATTTTCCCCATAAAGAAGAATGTAAATATGGAGGATTCAGGAGTGTGGGTAAAATGTATCCATCCACTTAAAGTAGGAGGTTTTCCCTGTAATAATTAATGGAAAAGGTCAGGACAGAATTTAGGCTGAGTGTGTGTTTCACTTATAGCTAACTGAATATTGTATAGAGTGTCCTGTTATACTCTATATTTAGGTTTTGTTAATGCAACATATAGTGAAATGACTAAGGTTAATTAAAATACATAAGTCATATAATTACCTTAATAGATGTTTACAACATCCAGTTTAATTAAAATGAGATAGGAGCATGAGTATTAAGAGACATTGTACTTAACATTTCAATATTTGATATTATTAATTGTCTCACTGACGAAATGACATAGACTTATGGTCAGACGTGCCAGAAAAAAACTAGAATTGTGAGGAATGAACCAGGGAGACGGATGGAGGGGAGAAGATGGGGTGGAGGGAAGGTGAGTATAATGTACATAAGAGAACAGAAGTGCAAGCTTAGAATTGTCCCCCTTTCGAACTATCAACACCATAGACAAATAACATTGCCATTTCCTCATATTTACATTCCATTGCTACTAGAGTTACAGCTCTGCAACTTTCTAATGCAGTACTTTCTTAGGATTTTTTTTCAGGTCTTAATTCCCTTTGTGTAGTGTGATTTTGAAATGGTTTTCAATTTGCAGAAAACAATTTTTTTCCATCACTAAAATACTTTCACTTCCACTCCTTGGAAGCCTGATAAAAAAGGTTGTCATTATTAACAATAAAAATTATTATCATTCATCAACTTTGTAGCTAATAAAAAACATAAACCATATGTATGTGTACAATTTTTTATTAAAATAAATATAAAAATATAAATATAAAACAATATAACTTAGCATTCAGACAACATATGTGTAGTATATGACAATAATTCTATAGGATACACATCCTCATGACATTGTATACGTCTAGTTGATAAACCTAAATCACAGTTTTTGACATTAAAACCTTACCAACCTTTCACATTTACATTGTTTATAAAACAAAACAGGAAATAATTAAATAGATCAATCATCTTAAAACAAGTTTTACAGTTCAATTTTTAAATCCAGTCTTAAGTAGAAGATTAGATTTTTTTTTCATAAACACAGATCGTAAACAATACTACTATCATTCTTGTCTTAGATATAAAACACATTGTCCACACCTATTTCACAAAGTCCTAAATTGTGAAAGGCATCTTCACCAATTACAAAAAAGGAAAATAAAAAAAGCAGAAAGTGAAAAAAAAATTAAATTTTGTAAAACAATATTCAAGTCTCCACGGATTTTAGAGTCAGAAGAGTTTTTCTGTTTTTTTTTTTCACAGGGCAGCTGTTAAATCTTGCTGTTCAGAGCTAAGTCTCTTTGTCAGTGTCTTTCCCTATATACATGTCTGCTAGTTTTTTGAACTGAGGTCCCCAGTTACTTAGGTAATCATAATCTTGGTCACCATCTGTTGCAGCTGACTCAAGTGAGCTTAATGACTCTGCTATAGATCCATTTCCTTCAAAAGCATAAGTAGCAAGTGAATCATAAGGAGGAGCTGTTGGATCCATATCATTGTCTTGTAGCCTACTGTTAATAAAGTCTCTGACATCTGCATTATCCTTAATAGGAGATGTCCGACGGAAAGGAAATAACATTTCTGGGATTATATCTCTTCGTAGCTTGTTAGCATCCATCACTTCAGGATTTCTCAGAGTCCCAATATCAAAGGCCTGGGTGTCCTCTTCTCCACCCCCTTCATCGTTATAGCTGACAATGTTGTCTCTGACATCCTCTTTGGAGATGATCAGAGGTTCCTTTTTCTTTTGCCTCCTCAGGGCTGCAAACAGAACCACTATAACTGCAAAAACAAAAACACAAGAATATACTTCAAAACCTATGCATAAAGTTTAGGAAACTCATTAATTCTCAAATGGGAAACAATCAGCTTGCAACTAAAAATTTGTGGAACAGCCTGCAGGTTTGTGTTAATGTTAAGGAATCAGCAAAATGATTTTCCTTTAAAAATAACCTCAAATAAATTATTGGTATTCTCTGACAAATATAATTGAAAGAATAGCTTATACTATATGTGTATCAATTCTGAGAATCTTAGTTATTAAAAACACATTGTGTTTAGAATTCAATTAATTATGTGGAGTAATTTTAGAAAAAAACACAGTTAGGAAGTTAGGAAGCATGCATTTCCAGAGTGCACTGGAGTTTAATGAAAAACTACAAATTTGGGTATTTGTTTCTGCGATGTGAATTTGTGCTGGTATTCCACCAGAACCACCATCCTTTTCTATACTGAACTAATGCAACCTATGAACAGAAGAGCAGCAGAGTTTGTGTTAGATCACCAATATCCTATTGTGAGATGTGCTGCTGATACAGATGAATGGACTCCTGTAGATGATAAAAAGAGGTAAATAAGATCCTTCTTCAAGCAGTCAAGCAAGACTACCAGCATATAATGAGCGGCTGTCAGATAGTTCTTTTGAGACACATAGGGTCATACATTTTTCAAGCCCGCAAATCACACTAAAATGAAACTGTCAAAAACTATGGCAACTACACACTAGTAGTGTTTTCCATGGTTAATTTTCCTCAATTCAGATGATGCTGAAGACAGGTAAAGGTCTTCAAGACAACTGTTTGCTGCTCTGTGAAATAATTAGAAATTACAAATTGAAGATTCAGGTTGAGTGTATGTGCCAGTTTTCTGTGAGTTTCCCAAAGATTAATGTGGGTTTTTCAGACTTTTATTTACTTGTTTTTTTTTGGTAAATGCAATTTGTTTCAAGTTGTGTTTCACTTAATTTTTTCCATTATACATATTCAGTCTGACAAGTGTCAGAAGGTGATAGGCAGCTGCTGTTACTAAATTAGCAGATATTATGGATTGGATGGTCAAGCCTGCTTATTTGTGTTAACTCCATTTGTGTTATCAGAAATTGAGTGCGAACCATTCATCGTTATAATTTATTTAGATTTTACATGATTAACAATTTGGCTCAAGCTGTGTTTCACAAGAACACTTAATTCTCTCCTTTTAGAGCTATAAAGATCTTACATTAATATTAGGGCCCTGTAGAAACCATGGGTGTCATCAAATAATTGACTAAAATGGTTTCTGTCCAAAAGTGCAACATGTTAATCAAGGCACTGAAGTGGAACTGATCTGAAAGCTAATTTAGTAATCAGTATACCATCAATAGCTATTCATAAAAACACTTTCATATTAAGGCACTGACACTGCTGCTGGAATTTAGTCCAACTCCAGTCTGAGAAGGACATTTTTACTGCTTAATTTGTTAAAAAAAATGTGATAATATGCAACCAGGACTTACATTATCAATAAATTTATTCGGTTTGGAGAATAAATACCTCTGTTAAAATAAAATGCCTTTATGGCCTTTTATTTTGTGGTAAATGCCTTTTTACTAGTTATATTCTTTAACATGTTTGTTATTTCTATTATTTTGAAATATTGTCCATTTGATGCAATCACACAATTGATAATCTTATCTATTTCTAGGATGATCGTGACCTATGATCATGTAATCCGTCAGTCACTTTGAGAGTCAGAAGTTAAAAATTGCACTTAAATCATACTTTGCTCTTGAGTCATCGTGTTCGTGTTCCTGTTTCATGTTAAATCTGAAGAAACCTTATGGGTTGACTTGATTAGGAGGATTTAAGGTTAAGGATTGTGAATAGATAAATCAGACTCCCTTGTTTTGGTCTCTGTTCAGGACTAAAAATCTTTAGTTCTCTAACTTGTTAGCTTGTTATTCCTTTAAAAACAATAATCTGGATGTTGTTCTCTAGACTTTTTCCAAAGCAGCAATACTGTATGTGTTTTGAAATATAATGGTCAAAATTGCACATAAAAATAAATCTGTTTTACTAGTACATGCATTCACTTGATTTACTGTATAATCTACAGTTTAAACTATCATAATATTTGGCTTGTCTTATTTATATTGTCTTATGTGTGTAAAATCCATGGTGAATATCCCCTAGAATCATACTGTTATGACCACCTAATTTAGTTCTAATTGCCATTTACCATATGTGTAGGAGGTTACACATTATTAAAGGTTATAATGATAGGGCTATAATGCAACTAGGCAAATACTTACTGAGAAGAATAATGATGCAGAGCAGGATAGCAACTAAGGCCCCAGTGCTGAGACCAGCAGGCAGCATCAGAGCTTCAGCATTGCAGGACTGCATGTTGCCTCTGCTGTCACATGCACACACTCGGATAGTCAATGTACTTGTGCTACTCTGGATAGGATAGTCATTGTCAGATATAACAACAGGCAGAAGGTAATAACTCATTTCACGTCGACTAAATCCACTTCTTCTTGTCAGAATTCTAGCTGTGTTATCTAGAAATAATTTGAATAATTGCACAGTCAGCAAAATGTCACATAATACAGCACTCATGTAATAACAGTTTAACGAAAATTCAAAATTCAAATTCATGTGGATTTCTTTTGGTCCTTCTTATAATTGAAATATATAATTAGACAAAACAAAGTACATTATAACTAAGGGTTATATTTAATACATTCTCATGAGTTTTGCTGAAATCAATAATTGGAGGACAGCATCAGTAATAGACCATTATTGGTGTTGATATATATATATACCAGTTAAATTTACCTTCATTGTCAAAAATTGTAAAGTTGGGATTAGTGGTACTGAGACTGAAGGCAAATTTGTGGCCAATGAGAGGTTCATCTGAGTCAACAGCACTTATAGTCTGTATCAACTGTAAATAAAACAGAAGACTTGTTAAATCAATCTATGCAAATAGAAAACTTTAATATGATTTTCCTTACTGTACATATATCTGACTTGTTTAATCAATATGTATTCAAAGTGTTTGCATAACATTTTTGCACAACACCCACAATTAGCTGTAGAATGTATTATGTGTCAAAGAATGCTTTCCAAATTAATTTATTATGCAAATGTTTAAGTGGACATACTGCATATTGCAGCTTTACAATGTGATTGGCTTACAGGGAAAAATCATTTAATTTATTTAAAAAATCATTGCTTAATATATTTATCCTAGTCAGATTAATAAAATCAACAAGGCATTCACCTGTCCAGATTTTACATTTTCACAAACAAAGGTTTCATAAAACATAGCAAATTCTGGAGCATTGTCATTGACATCCAAAACCTTAATAAAAACTGGAACACGGCTGGTCAGTCTGGGATTATCTGAAACAAGATATGTGATTAAATGTCTCAGCATAGGTAATTTTATTCCATTACTTGACAATTTGACAGTTAATTTAAATTGTACCAATACTTATTCCATCACCTTTTGAAATATATGATTTTTTTAACTTTATGATCATGCGTCAGCTATAATGAATGTCCTAATAAAGGTTACAGCCACCAAGAACCTACTGTATCTGGATTCACAAGCTTCACTAAGAACCTTATCTGGTACAAGGTTGGTTTGCTTCATAAAGGTAAAAGAAGTCACAGCAAAAATTATGATTGATGTTTAAAGTTCACAACAAGCTCACCAGACAACAGACAAAACATTTATATTAAAACATGCCTTCCTCAAAAAACATTTTGAAAAAGCTTTCACAAGTGTTGCACATCTACTTGCCTATATGGTTATTTAATTCTTAAAAAAAAACATATGTATCTTACACATCCCGTCCCATATCAAATGTGCAAACCTTCAAACCCTTCTAAAGAATAAATTTACCTACAGTATACTTGTTGAATAACTATTGTAAATTAAAGGTGAAAAATAAAGTTTAATTTCATTAAACTTACTTATTTCAGTGGCAACAATGGATATATTTTGCCACTTTGACATTTCACGATCAAGAGGTTGTAATGTTGAAATTGAACCATTTCCAGAGTCAATATCAAACAATCTGTCCAAATCTGTATGTCTGTCAACAGAGTACCTGCAAAACAAGAATCAATTTTATGATGTATTATTGTCAGTTCAGTTTTGACATTCCTTTATATTTTGATATTGTAATACAAATAATGATATGGTTATTTTCTTGCAAGCAGACAATAGTCAATCAACCATTAGTAGTAGTAGAGTCCTTCTCTTTTTAAACTATGCACTAATATTTCCATTAGTTTTTTTGTAATCCAATATAACTACCAATTGGTTATACTACCAATATGGAATGTCTCATTTTTATTTTGCCACAAATAATTTCACAGACAATTATATTTAATTAATTTAAGTTCAGCTCTGATAATCTCTCCATGATCTAGGCATTTTTAAAAGATATAAATTTGTAAACACTTAGGAACAAGTAATACGTTTATTCCATGCTCAAAAGAGAAGAAAGAAAACACAACGTTTCAGGCGTGAAGCCTTCTTCAGGTGTGCTGAACTACTTTGTAAAAACTGTTAAAACACAATTCATATAATATTTTAAAATAATTATTGGATTATTCTACCATTACTTATTATATCTGAACTATGGCATTAAAGTTTGCTTTGGCCCAGTGAAGTAAAACAAATCCCAGATTCCCTCAACCTATCCCTCAGGAAAGTTTGCCCATATGGATTACAGGTAAATGTGCATAATTAGGAATACTCAGCAGTGTGTTTTCTTTGGAACAACTGAAACAACCTTGAATTTAAACCTAAACCTAGTTAAAAATCTAATTATTTTTTGTTCAAAACCACTTATTACTTTGACTATTCTGTTTCTGACTTTGGAATTATAATGGATTATTAATCACTTTATAAACAACAATCGTTTAAAAGAGAAATTAGCTCACAGAGAAAAAGTAATGTAGTTCACTAAACTGATCATCTGTAATGACCAGTCTGGTAGGTTAGTAGTCTATTTAAGAATAACACTAAAATTTATTTAGAAACTTTTCTTACTTTACTGGGTGATTAGCAGCATCTGGGTCATAGGCAGTAATTGCTCCTATGAAACTACCAGGGGCAGCATCTTCATGCACTTCAAATACATAGAAGGATTTACTAAAAACTGGGGGCTCATCCATGTCCTGCAATGAGATCTTCACAGTTGCTGTATCTTTAAAGGGACCAAGATGAAGGAACCGATGATCAAGATGAGTATTAACAGCCTCCACTTTTAAAAGGTATATCCGTTTATTTTCAAAATCCAACTGCTATAAATAGAAAATAATAAACAAGGTGTTTGTTTCAGTAAACAGAGGCTGAACATTTGCCACATTTCAGAAATTAAGGTTGGAACACAAAAACATCTGGTAACCAAAACAGTGTGAAATTACATTGCCACTGCAGAATCAAAACAAGCAAACAAACAATAGGAACAAAGGCATATTAAGTGATTTAGTGTTCTGCTTTTGCTAACACTTAATGTACCATTAACAGTAATTGGGAATTCTAAAAGGATATCATCTGCATTAAGATAAATACTCTCATATGTGGTCTTGGTTTCTATCAATTTCAATATTCTAAATAAGCAAATAAAATGGAAATGACAGTGTAACTTTGGCCTATTGTATAATTGAATACATACTACTGTGAAAATCAAAATGGTTGTGCAGAAATGCCTTAAACATCAATTATGCTTTAAAATATTCAATCTGGATCTTTAATCCAAAGTGGTTAATAAATATTCCTCTTTCCTTATTCTCCAGTGATCTGCATGATTTATGGGTAGTTATGAAAAGGCAGACTCAACAGTGAAAGGAATAGTTATAGCTAGATTTTAAAAATTACATGGATGCATTACACAATACAAGAGGGAATAAGTACCTCTTGACAGCGTACTGAATTAAGCACCTTTGTAAAGTTAATAGGACATGATATGTTCAATTTAGAAGATTACCTTCTCTGTACTTCTTTTTTCCCCTCTCTATCTATGCATAACTATAGCTGAGAAAAAGTAGTCTGGGGACAAGGGAAACGTGTAAAAACATATATTTTAAAGATAATGGCTAATGCTAATGAAATATAAAAGATTTACCCTTTTCACAGTTATAACACCTTCCTGTGTTGATCTGTCAGTGACAATTTTAAACAGATCCTGTCCATCCCCACTAACGATATTATATTGAATATCAGCATTCTCTCCAACATCAGCATCATTCGCTTTAATCCTGCCAACTGTTGCTCCAATTTCTGCAGATTCTGATGTGCTGAGATGGTAGGAACCTTGAAGCAAATGGTTGAAAGAAATAGTGAGGTGCATTTCCAAATTACTTGGTACTTGTTCTATTTTTATTTATTTATTATTGTTAGTAATGGGGAATAAACAACTAAACATTAATGTGTACATTTTTAACAAAATATTTTATTTGTATAATTCTAAGAATTTATTACTATTACTATAATTATTGAATTACTCTAGGGCATTTTTCTTGAAATCCTTTATTACTTAGCATGTTTTAATGGAGATTTAGCAATATAATGCACTACAGCACAGTGAATTTGTGAAAAGGTTTCATGTTTATTTTGTTAAAGATAGTTTATTTTGAGCTATGCCACTTATGAGAACAAGTAGATTGAAAACAGGAAGATTAATTGATGGTCCATTATTATTTTACAGTATATCTGTATGTACGGTTGAGATTACGTACCTCATGGTTTGTTCATATAATAATGATGTGTATATGTTAATATACAGTTATTTTCTGCATTCCTCCCTAGCCTTTTTATTTAATGGTTCAGCCTTGAGGACCTGTGTATAAATTCCCTCTAAATCAACACTGCAGCATTGTCATCCTGGGTTTTGTGATGCACTGTGCTGGAGAAGGAAAACCATTAGGTGAATGGAAAATTAAATTACAACTAATGGCTAAAACTGACATTTGGAGACAGGAGTCTATAGTATGTATAGTATAACACTGGTGTGAATGGGGAGAATTAAACTCTAGATGCTCGCTAGATAAATGCCATTTCAAACATGAATATTAAAGCACAGTGTCCTGTTTTAAGATTCTCAATGTGCCTCCCATCTCTATACAGCATTTTGTTCTTTTTTGTAGGTTTTAGTTATATTTAATTTTGAATTAATGAAGATTCTGATTCTAAAGAATCTGATATGGTATGGATTATGTTGTACTTCCATGTTCAAAGACTGTCACTGCAAAATAAAATAACTACCCTGTTACATGTAGTTACATGTAGCAGGTCCTTGGAGTTTTTTCATCAATCTGTTGGGGAAACATGGTTAGTCAAATCAGTAAAGCCAACCTGATATGAACCTGTGTTCAGAGATTGTTTAATAAATTGTCTTGTCCATATGAAAGATCTGTGGGGATCTGTGGGAAATATTTATTTCTGTTTACAAATAATGCAAACTTAAAGACTAAAGAAACCATTTCAATTTGTTTTGTACTGTGATATCTATCAGTGGGATTTTTTTACAAAATTAAAACAATGGGATTTCTGAAGAGATGTTCAGTTCCACAGTACATAGCAGGCTAGTGTCTACATTATTTCAACACACTGTTTATTCAGAATAATTGCATTGTCATTCTCACATTTATTAAAACAGCTTTGCAGTGAGATATGTAGTAGCAGTATATATGAGTACTTCATGCAATATATATATATATTTTTAAACTTTTTTGAATCTAAAAAAAACAAACAGGTGGCAAAGTGCAAATAAAAAGTAAAAATTGAAATATATAAACAATATTAATAATTTATCTTTTGAAAACCCATATTCATAATAATGTTTTCAGTGGGTTGTATTTTTAGAACACTCAGTATCAAGAGAGAAAATAAATAAACAAGTTAACAAACAAACAACTTAATAATTATCTGTTCTATACAGCTTTAATTCCAAAGCTTTTACATTATATCTTACTGTATGTTGTTAAATCTGCTTTCACAAGAAACAAAGACTGAGTAATCTTACTCTGGGGGAACCTTGGTGGGCTGTCATTCACATCAGTAAGGGTGATGTTGACTGTTGTCGTCCCTGATAATCCACCCATCTGTCCAGCCATGTCCTTGGCCTGGATCATCACATGGTAATTTTCTTTGTTTTCCCTATTCATGTTTGGTAAAGCTGTTCTTATAATACCTGTTTGAAATACATATCAATATGTTGGCTTTTGTAACAGATTTGTTTCCAATGTGCCTGAAGCGCATTTGTTACACTTTTGCCAAATAATAACTGTCAATTACACATTAACATAAAATAAAGATAACAAATCATTGTTGTTTTTAATAGTACTTTCATCCCAGATGTTCTTAAAGAATTTCAGTTGTAAGAAAACTGTGTCAGTTGCTGTCATGAATATAGAGTGTTGCCCTTTAGGCCAATGCATTTGCACAAATTTGAGAAAGTCCTAATACTTCTAGTAAATTAGAATCAAATTCTGATTTCCAAAACTTTGTAAATGGTCATCTTTAGTGACAGAGTTTTATTAATGGAATTCCAAATTACAGACAATCAACAGCACAAATAAAAAATGAAATAGTTACTGATTATTGATTCAATACATTTCACCACATTGTAAGATATTTTAATATTGAAAAGGACAGTATTACAACATTATTCTATAAATAATAATGTTCTGGTATAATTATATGTTTTTATGCACTTTTTATGGTGAATTAACTAAATAGAAAATTAACATCCTCCCACAAACACAAATGTAATTAGGACACTATTTGATCCAGTGAATAATTTAAGATTCATAACAAAGTTTTAAATACAGAAGTGTGTGAGTTACAGTAAGAGTGATATTGTTCATTATTTTTTTCTTTATGTACACAATTTCTAATTTTTCTAATTTATAATTGCAGATGCCAATCAGATCATCTTTAACAGCAAATGAAGCAATATTTTCCTCCAAAACAGTTTTCTGAGCACTGCTTGAATGCTTGAAATTGAAATGTATTAATGCATAAATTGAATGTATACAGTAGTTAATTCCCTGACAGCATACAGTTGGATGAACTAAAGTTACACTATCAGCACAGATATTTCCATTATATAAAATTCAGACTGTCAGCAAATCCTTTCCAAATAATTAATAGTTGCTGTAAACTAACAAAGAGCAGTTAACTGTTTAACAGGCTCGTCCTCCATTTCAAGTGTAAATGACAATATAAAAAATGCTTAAAGGGGGCATGGTTGAAAATAACATTTAGCTAGCAACTGCCCTTTCTCACTAGCTACCATTGATTAATACTAACAATGTCAAACTATGTATAGAAAAGTTAAATTTATAACAACTCAAAATAAACAGAACATCCTGGTAATGATAATTGACCCACTTTATTATAAATATTGTGATTGTTTTTAATTATTAACAAAGATTTAGCTTCTACGTACTGTGGGCACCAAAAATATCCCCATAAATCTATCCTTAACTTATTCTTACTTATTCTTACAGGTAGTAAGCAAGTATTAAACATTTTTATGTTTAATTGCTGGCAAGCATTTGAGTACAATAACCAGTCTCTCAAAGAAAATCTACTAATTTGGGTCTCCTGCAGATACATTTATTGCCTTGAGTTATTGAACAAAAAAAAAAAACACCATAAAAGGTATTTGGTGCATTATATCATGTAGCATTTTAGGAAATACAGTGATTCAGTGAAGCAGTTTCACCCTCTTCGAGAAAAAGTAGCCTGCCAACTCTCAGTTAGATGGTGCTAATGTACTGTAGCTTGAAAAGTAGACCTGAGTGTTTCATTGTTCTATGTGCCCTACCCAACCATTTGATACTCTATGTTCCAAGACAGGTGAACTAGGAGGGGAAGAGTGGGTCTTCCAAATGTACAGGTACTGTATGTGTATGACAACATTCACCCTTCTTCATTCATTATTTAAAGTAGGTGCTCAGAGTTTTGCCTGTAACTAAAGTAAGCTCTTTTCTGTAGCAATTGATTTTCGGAAGAAGGGGTTAATTAGTATGCTATACCTAGTAGACTCCTGTCACCATTGGAACTGGATTTCTATTATACACTCACTTCTTCAGAAGCTTTCCTTGTTTAGGATTTAAGCTTTTGTATTATCTCTTCCAATGTTTTCTCTGTCAAAGTCCACTCTAGGTTGAGATTCTTGTCTCTATGAGCCTCTTAAATGCTCATCAGACAATGGTCTACACTAGTAAGTGCTTGACAATTCCATTAAACATCTTTTACAATTTTCATTTTCACTTGAAATTTCACAGTTAAAAAAATATTATTATTACTTGGATCTACATTTTTGTCTTTGACTTTCCACACTCAGCAACATGGTAATTGTTTTGATTCCATTTATGTATCCCACAGGACTATCTGAATTTTTATTGGAGTGAAAAGTAATCGCATTATGAAGAAGAGTTAATGACAATAATTTGTTAATACTAGGCTATTGCAGCAGTAATATTAGGATATCGAATAGACTTTTTAGGTATCATAGAGGGAAAGATGAGGCAATCTGTTACAGAAGTTCTATAAAACAACATGCATAAAATAAAATTAAGATTTGATTTTTTCATCATGTCATGTTAAATTTTAAATGATTTGTTCATGGGTACAAGGCATTTATTGAATTGTTTTGCAATGCATTTAATGGTTTAATCAGCAATTATGTCTCTATGTCAAAGATGGGAACAGCATGATGTTCAAATACAACAATAACCTGAAACAAATAATGTGAGATACAAAATAAATTAATCTCCATAGTTACTGTTTCAATACAGATTATATATGTAGTTCTGTCAGAATAAAAATAGTGAAAGTTTCATGTTAATGTTTTCTTGTGACACAATCACAAAGTTTGAAAAATATTTACATATATCTTACCTAGCACAATATATTTTTAATTTATTCATAAAGGCAATGTTATATAATGGACCAAGTAGAGTTAACAGTTGATTCTGTGCTGAAAAGTAAGAAAAAAACATGTATTCTACCCTATTCAAAATCCCCAGGAGGATTTTTTAAAGGATTGTTTTGCAGTAAAGATATGCACTATGTATTTCAGAAAGATTATTACTGTGTACTGTATAGAATTTTACAGAAAGCTATTTGCATTTCCTTATATAGTAGTATATATGTTTATACTTATTTGGATCACAAATGAAAATTATTCTGACTTTTAGAAGATAAAGAATAATTAGATAATGTATTAGATGAATACTTCACTCAGGTGTTCTCCCTCCCTCATTGGCCCACCATTACACCACTGTTCCGTATGACATCATCATCAATCAGCCTCTCAGCCAATCAGACTGCATCTTATTCAGTATATAACATGGAGGTTTTCTGAAGGAGGAGGCCTTTCATTTGACTTCGGTCCCGTTTGCTTTTGCTTTCGCTTCGTTGGTTTGTTGTTTTGTGTGTGTGTATTTTCATATAGCTTCGGCTTTGTTGTTTTGTTGGTTTCTGTTTATTTCTTTGTACTTTTGTTTGTTTGTGTGTTTATCCTTGTTTTGCCATTACCTTGCTTGCAAATGTGTTTCATGTTCAACCTTTGTGTTCTTTTGTACCCTGTTCTTGTTGATTACTCTCATTTTCCCTTATTTGTATTCCTAGTTCTCTTGTGTTTTTGTGTGAACATTTGTGTATAAGGTTAGTTTAGATTGTTGGGTACATTCTACACACTTAGTTGATTTTGTATTAGTAACACTAGTTTAGCAAATAGCACTTAAGTGATACTGCGAACAATTGGCAAACATTTTGTGGTCAGAAAACGAAATTGAAATCTTCTTATCTACAAGCAAAGCATTGCATTTAACTAGAACCCAACTCAGTTAGCACCCACTCTTTTAAAAGTCATGGTAGTGAAAATACAGTGTAACCAATTCAACACTTTTTAGCAATTAGATGTTGAATATGGCAAATGAAGATATGTCCTGTTATAATATGTGGAAGAATATAAATTTAACTTCCAAAAATTCTAATAATTGAATTATTCACTTAAATGTACTTCCCAGAGTGTACTTCACCCCTTGAATATGCTTTTGTTTGAAGTTTGTCCTTGTTCCTTTGTGTATATTTTTCAAGAGGTAATTTTAAAATATTTTGGGAGTGTCCAGTAGTAGTTACAGTAAGGAAATAAAATGAAAATAAACAATGTGCTCATCCTGAGGTGAACTGCTGGTCTAGGGCATGTTGGTCTGGTTCAGTCTTGGCAGTGTGTGATACTCAATTGGGAAGAATTATTTTAAAAATCTGAACAAACTGTGGATTCATTTCAACTGAGATGAGAAAAGTTAGATCAAGCTGTGTGTAGTAGGCGTTACTCATATCTGACAGCTCTTCCAAGCCATCTGTTAAAATGGATCTTTGAAGTATACAAGGGATGTTACAGCCAGGACTTGGCTTATTTCAGCATTACAAAAATGTGCCTTTTTTGAGAACTGTTGGGTTTGTCTGACAATTCAGCCTTCCTAAAAGATAATGTAGCCCTTAGTATCAATTCATTTACAATAAACTAAATGACTAAATGTACAATGTATTCTATAATACATGCAAAAAATATATATGTACCACAAGTGATGGCAGTTAAATTATTTAACTTTTATTTTTATCTTTATATTCAAGTCAGGATTTGGGTTTAGTTGCTGACATTTAATCTAGTGTACATTAGAGTTTACTTATTATTGCATTATAAATGTTTCATTCCACATATCTAAAGTTGGTAACCAACATCCTACAATAGCTTACTCCTCAAACAGAAAATTATCACTTAAATCACATTTTGTTGTCTCATAGAAAGTTAATTAAAACCAATAAAAAAATCATACCTGTTTCAGGCTCCACAGAAAAATATGGTTGTCCCTGAAGAATACTGTATACAAGTTTGGCACTATTCCCATATGTCGCATCATCAGCATCTGTAGCTGTGACTTGTACAACAAATGTGCCTGAAAAAAAAGTAATGTGACACACAGGAAATGCTATATATAAACATGAAATGTATATTAAAAACTCTTCTGCAACCAATTTGAAGTCAGGACACTTTAGTTTGCTAAGGGAGTTATTGGGGAGAAAAATCACATTACAAGAGTGCAAATACCCAAAGCTAATCTCGCATAACATTATGATAAGAAAGTCAATGTCCTTGAGTGGACCAGTCAAGGTCCTGATTTGAATCTTATGGATAATCTGTAGAAAGGCTTGAAAACTGCTGTCTTCACAAGACTCTTTAGAGAACTTGAGCAAACCTACCAAGAAGATTGGGCAAAAATTGCACCTACAGTAGCTGGTGTGTAAAGTTGGCAGAGACTTAACCAAGTCCCCCATCTTTGTGATGTGAACAGTCAGGAGATTTATTTTTTCTTAATGACATTTCTGTTCTGGTTGTACTGTAGCATATGTTCAGGTCAATTGAATAAAAAAAAATTGTTGTTGAAAAATGTAGAGTCTGTATTTCTATTAACCTATTTCTATTATTCTTAATTACCATGTTTGAAATGCCTCAGGTATTGGCAAATGTCCTAGTTTGGTGTGTTTCTTTAACATTACTGTTCTCATTAAACATTCAAAAAAGTTTGGACATCAATGCTTTCCATTCCCATGAATTACATTCTAAAATCATGTGTATTCCAGAGCCTCTTCAACAACAATACATCAGTCATCAGATTATGGATTTTGTGATTGTACAGACATATTTTTTTTATCAGAGGCTTAACTAGAGAGCCCATAACTACTTTCAATAGTATTACAGTATTTGTCTATTTCCATAAAATGTTTGTGATTTTATACATTCCACCTGTACTGAGTAGATATATGGATTTCAGGAGTCTCATTTCTTGAAGTTTATATTTGTTGAAAAATATAAACAGAGTAATACAATTTTCATAAGTTGTTTGAAATAACCTCCAGAATATATAAACCCATAGCACACAGTGGAGTTTAAAAGATTGATGCTCCAGAAATAAGAGAATTTTAGCACATTAATTTAAACAGTGTCATGACCCAAAGAGAAATATTTGATCTAACCAGACAGAAATATAAGAATGTTTACCTGCTAACTCTATGAAACTGAGTGATATAACATCTTCCTCTCCCAGAAACAAGCGTATAAAACAAGCACACAGCATACTCAATCACCCTACTTGCCTAGAGGTTCACGTAATCATCTGCACAACTGTTGTAGGTGAACAACCACTTCAAGGATGCTTTGAAAAGTCTTGTAGTGCATAAATTGTCCCTGGCTATGCTTAGCACTGTCCCTGACACCCACTGGACCTCTGCCACTTCAAATTGGTTCTGATCATCCTCAAGCATACTAATGAACCTAGAAACATCTGTCGTACTGAAATTTCTGCTTTACTACCCTGAAAGTGTTACACAGTCTTCATGGATCACTTGCTTGATTAACAATTTTCAGATTCCAGCATCAGGGAACTTAGATGTTTTATGGAACTTGACCATGAACTCTCTTTTATAGGCCTTATAAGTATGGTCACTGAGAAAAAAACATCATTTCTTTTCCTCCTACTCTCAAACTCAATACTGAACTTTCCATTACAAGCAAGACAGTTCCTCGTCCTTAAGTATGAATAATATACAGTATACGTAAAAAAGAACTAGTTAACTGCTGCATTTAAAAAAGTAAAAGACAAATCATCATAAAGAAATGGAACTGCCCTTCAATGTAAATAATTTGTTTTTAATGTTTTTGTTTTATTCCACCAGGTAAGCCAATTGGGAACAAAGTCAGTTATATTATTGGTGTACTGTACAGTGTTTATACAATAGAGGACTTCCTAGAGCAATTTCAGTGAAGTACCTTGGTAAAAGATACAATACAAGTTCCCCTCTAATAAGTTGAACCTGTGGCTCTCCAGTCTGCAGCCCTAACTTCTACTCCGTGCTGCTGCTGCCTGGAGATGAATTAGGGGTTCTCATCATATACTGCAATTATAATTTGAATGCTATTTTTGTGGTTCACAAGTAATGCAGAACAATACTCCAATAAAATACAAGAATAAAAAAATGTAACATGATTTCTTTTCAGTCTATTACCAGAAAAGCTATATCCTGTACATTTTTGTCTCATGTGATGTATTTTATGATTAATTTTTTCATGTATTGTATACTGAAAAATTGTTAAATATAAAATATATTGAAAAACAGAGGTCCTCATCCTGAGATCCTAAAAATCAATTCAAACCATTCAATCCATGTAGTGTTCCCCACTACGATAAAATGTTTTGTGATTTTCTAAGAAAATACAGTATATTAATATTTTAGTGGTCTGTACATGTGTTTATTTCTTAAAGTAATGCCATTACGATACGTTTCAGAAAAAAAAACTACTATAAAATGCAGAAGGCATAGTCTACAATATAATGTGCAGAATATCTGATTAGCCAAGATATCTCTAGGATTAGAAAGTATTAATTTGATAGTAGATGCATTACCTGAAAGTAGGGAATGGTGGAAGTCAATGAATAGAAATTAATTGAGAAGGTGGAGAATGAAAGGGATGTGGCAAGTGTTTGAGAGATTCCAGTAAAGAACTTCAGATATATAAAATATTATACGATTTTTTCTTAAAACCTAAGTCAGTCTGAAAAAGAAATTTAATACATTTAATAGAGTACTTTATTGCCAAACTGAATGTACACGTACATTGGAATTCTCAATCGCGCTGATCTCTCGTGACATACACATTGAATGCCAATGAGATTCAAGAATACAGGATTTAAACATGATTTGAAAGGCCTTGAAAATGTTGGCATTGTCCTCCAATTTCAGTTAAGATGTGGCATGATCAATGATAGCAGAGCTGAGAGTGATATGCTCTGAGGGGATTAGACAGCTAATGCAAGGAGATAAATGCATTTGAAAAGAAAGGAACAATGACCATTTCAGAGTTAATTTAGAAATGTAGCACAAATGTTGTCCAGTTTAAAATTGACAGAAATAAAGGACTTAGTATAAAGACATAAGACATAGATCAACAGTCCAAGAAAGACATCACAGACTGTACCAGTTTTTAGAAAAAAATATGGACTGGAAGGAACTGAAAGTTACTGCAGATGGTTAAAACACATAAAAGGTGGTATGAGAGAAAAAGATGCATAATGGATGGCACATTTCATACAAAGAACATCACATTACTATGTTGAAAATATAACTTATGTTAAAGACAAGGTGACAACAAAGTAAAGCAAGAACAAAGTTCTAGTTACTTTGGTCTATACGTGTAGAAAATTCAGTTAAACCTAGTAATATATGTGGTCTCTGTAAACTGCATTCAAAAAGAAGTTTTCTCTCATTTCCTAGGGAATTGTAGAATTTTTACATAACATCCTATAATGCTGGAGCATGAGCAGAGGTATTGTGGATGACTGCAGGAAAAATAAAATATGATTTAAAGAATAGTGTGAAGGCTGACTTGATATGCAGAGAATTTGTCTTAGAGTTAGAGAAACATCCAGGGTAGAGTTAATGTCTTGATTTGCAGCTGGGGAGATGTCAGTTATATCAACACAGGTTGTATGGCAGCATCTATGACTTATGATGTCAAGAAAAACAGTTAAGTAACAGTCATGCTTTGTTTACCCATGCTAAATGACAGTGTACTATTGGTGAATAGTATACATTTTATACAAAATAAATGTCAATTTAAGGAAAAATAAACATAATGTTTTAATTCGATAATTGTATTGCAAACATACTGTACATCAGTATGTTGTTAATCAATAAATCATTCACACATGACTTGTCATTCACACATTCACACGTTGTCATAAAAAAAAAACTTGTCATACATTAATTTACAGTATCTTCAATATATATACAGTATATTCACTGCTTAGTCTTCATTTTCTAACTGTTTTATCCAATACAGGGTTGCTGGGAAGCTGGGCCTATCTCAGCAAGTAATGGGTACAAGGCAGGATATATCCTGGACAGGATACTAGTCCATTGCAGGACACACACGCACTCTAGGGACAATTTTCCAGAAGCCAGTTAAACTACTAGTATGTCTTTGGACTATGGGATGAAAGTAGAGCAACTGATGAAAACCCACGGACACAGTAACTTACAATCTCCAAGCATGCTGTCTACTCTGAAAGTAAATATTAATTTGTTGTTTCACAGGACTAATGTGGGTTGAGCTTTCTCTAGTTGACTATGATAGCCTTATTATTTATGCCTTTGAATGTATAAAATCTTAAGTCCTCTTACATGGTTCCACCCCCTCAGCATTTTGAAAGAGCAGACACTAATTAATATTTATTCCATTTACTCAAAGTTCCTGTATGCTGTTAAACACACAATAAACCTGAATTGTGTTTCTTGTCAGATTTTTATTATTGTTTTTGCATGTCTTGGGGTGTGCATGTCTTGTTTATAATGGATTAATATTAAATTAACTCTTCCTTTTACTCACCTACATCAGACATTTCAGGGACACTAGCTAAGTAGGTTTCTTTTGTAAACTTTGGTTCATTATCATTTATATCATGAATTTTAATGATGAATTCAGACTCTGGCTCCACTGGACGGCCTGTCTTCTTGTTCACAGCTTGAGCACGGAGCGTGTAGTAGGCCTTTTCTTCTCTGTCCAGCTTTTTAGTAGCTTGAATATCTCCAGAGTTTTCATTAATTAGAAACAAGGTGCCTGCCCCTTCCCCGGAAAGGACATACTTAACGCTTCCATCTCCTCTGTCCTGGTCAGAATGAAGCTGAGAAAGAAAAAAAGGCAGACATACCAGAATAATGAATACAACTTATTTTAATATTTTATACATATTAAAGAATGTAGCTTTTTAAAGGTTATGAGTTCAGTTGGACATTTTCAATATTGTTCCCTTAGATCTTATAAGTTATAAGATTATGTTGCACAGTATGATTTCTCTCAATTATTGATAAAATTCAAATTACATTTATTTAACAAAATAATTGCAAACTACAAATGAAATACTTGTCTGTTGTCTAAGCACGTAGAGTAATCCTTTTTAGGCATAAGACTGTTTTATTTTGTGCCACAATGTATTAAGGAATGTACTGCTGTACTATATTATTTTATTTTTAATTTTCATGTGTTTGCTTATTTTGTAAAAACTACAGTTTATCATAAAGTGAAAATACCAACCCTGGCAGCATGATTTTAAATATGTACAACTCTTTGAATATTCTGAATAAAAACAAGAAAATACTGCAGGAAGCAGATGGATGTGATGGATATCCCTTTTGGTAGCAGAACTGTTCACCTGTTTCCAAGCAACACGAGTTTGTACCCTGTGCCAGTCCTTTAGTTGATTGCACTGCTTCTTATCCTGATTGAGGCAGCAAAGCTGAAGTGGTGATTTATGAAGTAAGAAGTAGTTGCTTGAGAGAAAATGGATTCCAATTTTGAAAGTACAATACCCAATGAAATGACTTTTTACCACTTCAATATGACACATTGGGCCAGGTGTACTAATGAAAGACAGCTGCAATGTAAACATACTGTACATTTTCCAGTTGTGTAGCAAAATGTTTGCAAAGTAAACTGTCCTGTGGACCAAAAGAAAATATTTCAATGAGAGGATCTACAATACAAGTTTTTGAAGTTTTTGGAATTAATATGGCTAGGTAACTTGTGTTTAGCATAGTGCATATGGTTTCCTACATTACTCCAACCTACAGTATGTGTTCTTCAGTAAAAAGTATTCTAGAGCACAGTCCTGTTCTGTCTCACAAAGACTACAGACTGGCTCCAGAAGTGAATGGAAAGGCAGAAAAAGAGCTCAATTACTTCTGATGTAAAGCTGAACATTGCAGAATTATTTTTATGCTAGTTAAAAATGCTTCTATTTTTAAATAAAAGAGCCATAAATATATTACTATGAAATTATTTAATTATAAAGCTTGAATCACATGCACTTTTATAGAACAGTTTTGTTTCCTCTTTCAATATCAGTGCTTAGAATGATCAGAAGATTTTAGCACTACTATGTTCCCTATAGACTGTGATAAACAGAATGCCAGTTTTATCTTAGGGTTTTCAGATAAAAAGCATTAAGGGGGAAAATAAGAATGTGTGCATTTGTCACAATAAAGCATTAAGCACAACTAGTAACACCCAAAACGTGCAGATTGGGAGATACCTGCAACAGCTGCCAAAACCCCCTAAATACAGCTGGTGACAAGAACGTTAATGGTGGTATGAGTTTTACCACCACAGGGAAGGCATGTCTTCTCTGGGTGAAAGGTTCCAGGTAATCTTTGAGACCACCCAGTACATATTTCTAATTTTGTCTTCACCTAATTGCAAGAAAATAGTCCAGATACAAAATACCCTTTCTTTTCTCATTCACATTCAGATTCCAATTCACTTGTTAATGCAGAGGTCAATTTCTCTTTGCTGCAATTACAGTGGCCATACTTGTGAAATTGCCTTTAAAGATGTGCTGACTGTGACAATTCAAACATGCATTTCAATGTTGCAAAGAAATTAAAGAAATTTTAAATGCAGCAATTGCTAACAACTTTAACATTTCTCACTTAAAACATTAGAAACTTAATTGGCACAAACTCCTTATCTGTGGCTTGTTGAATTTGTCTTTAAGCAATAAGTTTAGATTTTAAAAGAGAATTTTATACAGTACATACTGTACATTATGTGTAATCCTTATTTGCACTTAACTCAGTATATTTTAAAGCATAGTTTAATAAATACAGCACTCTGTCAGCACCAATATTTTATGTCCTAAAAAACTATAAAGTGTATCTGCCAGAACTTCATACTGTATCACCTTCATTATATACATTGAAAATATAAAACTGTGGGTTTCAGTAATCTTTTTCATTGGTCACCCTCTACCATTTTTTTAACTAAGTCAGGTACTTGAGAGAATCTTAACAATGCAAAAAAATAAAAGCAGTGTCAACATACTGGTGAAAACCTCTGTCAGAAGAAGAAAGCCTCTCAGGGAGAAAATAAATTATTTTCAAACTGCTTGATATGGCTGTGTTGAGTCAACCTTTGCAGAAAAGCATCTGAAAAAACTGCCCCTTTCAGCTGCTACATCCTGAACCTCATCAAGCAGCTGCTGAGTTTATAACCTGGATGGAAGAAAAACGCAATTGCACTCCACGCAGATGCCATGTGTGTCTGCACTTTTGGTTTTTTAGAACTTTATTATTTCTTATGCTTGCGCATTACATGTCAACCATGAAAGTTACTTGATTTATGTGCAATGCATACAAAATACCTCTTCATGTAGGTTTGTGCTTTGCAGAGTATTACACACTAAGATCTACTATTTTTCTAAAGTGTTCCACCACTTCCTTTTGTTGACAGGTTTATTATTTCATTTTCCATTAGCAATGTCACAGTTCATGTGTTAGCTATAATTTCCCAAATTATGTGCATGTAACCTGCACTGCAAAATTTAGAGGTAAAAATTTTGGAAATATATATATGTGCTGTTAGAGGCGAGATTTTGAGCCCTTGTGGCATTTTTTTCCCTTCCCATCAGGTAAAGTGTAAAAAAGCTACAATATTACCTACATTGGAAATCACCTGCAGCGGAGCAGCTGGTTTGCTGCTATTCAATATCATGCCAGCTACCTCTAGGATTATATCTAATTGCACTGAAGAGGAGCAAAGCTGTAGTTCAGCAGCTGAAAACATAGGCACATTAAGTGGGTCAGGAGAAACAAAACCACATATTGAAGAAATAAAACTTCTGCTCCAAGAATAATGTAAAATCTTGTAACTATTAATGAAAATCTAATTTTTAGACCACATAAGGTTGCAAGGAAATGTTTTCAATATCAGAAAAGACCACATTGTAGCTAAGAACAACTTAACAAAAAAACAGCAATAAACTATATACTATATATACTGTGCTAATAACTGCAAAGAATATATGAATCATTCTACATACAGTACCATATTAATTCACATTTCTTTCTAAGCATGATAATTGTTTCTTCTGAATTCAGTCAGACATCATGGCATTTCAGCAATAATTAAGTTCCAAGTTTCAAAACTGCTCTAGCAAACGTCAAATTCTATGAATACTTCATGGTTGTTTTCAATGTGTCTGATTTTGTTCACAAGCTTAAAATATTACATTGCATTTCAATTCCAAAATGTCTGTACATGCATGTTACTAGTGCATTCTGTGGGACTCCTCAGTGGCTCAAATATTAAATGCACTTGCTCAGAATTCAGAATGAGATCTGCCGTAGATGGTGCTAGTTTGATGCTGACTAATGTCACTAGCCAATTGTGACAAGATCAGATTTTCCCAAGTGGTCAAACACAATTGGGAGACTTTCTTTAGCTTTGTATAATATAGCATTAGTTGGCCCAGATCCCCTCTCTTCACCTGGCAACACCAACTTGACTGCAGTCTTGGAGACACGCACACAAGACATACACCTATCCTTGGTGTTAACTCTTCCATCAGGTGCTATAGAGCTTGCAGTATGTCCATTTGCAGAGCCAATTTTACAGGTTGAAGGATAGCATACTGCGTTATGCAGTTTTTCAACCTGCTAGAGTCGAAAAAAACATAAAATAACCATAGAATGATTGGGTATGTAAAATAGTCAAGGATACTGTGTGCACACAATTTTTAGTCTTTTTCAAAGCATTCAAGAAAGGGTCAGCAGATTCTATGGAATCCCTCCACAGTGCCTGTCCTATAGAAACAAATCCTCTCCAGTATAATTGTGACATCATTTTATTGACCCAGCTCTTGAAACAACATACAATGACCAATTTCCAATACTGATTGTTCTTCTTTTGTCAGTTTGAGAGTTGCCTTCCTTGTTTGGGACTGAGGTATATTCTTACCAGAATATTTCTACCCAAAAATGATATCACTTGGGCCAGGGATTGAAATGTTTTAACTTTCTATGTTTGTTTCAGTTTATAACTATGCCCATGCATGAACAAGTTGCTGACCCAGTTCAGTGGGTTGAAGGAAGAAGTCTGTACAGTATGTCTTGTATTTTTTTAAGACACTACATGAGCTGTAGCTTGAACAGCAAAGCTATTAAACTGACAAATTCAGACTGAGTGTGTATAATGTAGAAAACAATGAGGTATTTTAGATTTTTAAAATCTTTATTGAAAGAGATGAAAGATTTGCAGCAGAGGAGGACAACTTCATGGCTTTTGCACTATGGCAAACTAAGAACACAAGCCTTTCTGTACAATAAAGTATTGTATCAGTTCATCTTGTCGGTATTAAAAACTAATCTTTGTATACGTGGTTTAAACTTATTATTTTAAAGAATTTCGTTTGCATGTTAATGAAGAAAAAAATAAATTATTTTTGGTTACTAAATTTCTTATTGACTGCCAAGTTAAACTAATCCCCTTAAGCATACTAAATATTGTGTTAAATAGTGTATAAAAAATGTGTAGAAAGTGTATATTTTAATGAGGTACTCAGGTAAGTTAGCATGATACTTTTGAATGTTTGATATTACTTAATGTATCTGAGAAAGACATGATGAACTGACATGCTTGTGAAAGCATTTAGTTTCTGTAAATGCATTATACAAATCTTTTTTGTCAGATACTTTCCAGTTAAAATGACAGTAGTATTTAGAGCCCAGATGTTGAGGTTTGTCTTTTGACATGTCAGAATCGGTTAGCTCAACAATCCAGAAGATTTAATGATAGTTTTCAAATGTTGTTATAGGACATATGGGTATTATACAGTTTATACTTTGAAAA